TTCTTGCGCAGCACTGTAGGTTAGTTGGGTTCGTTGGGTTCATCGTTTATACTTACTGTTGTTCACTGGATAAACTGTATGTATAATTCACTGTATGCCGGAGTCAACCTGGACTTTATCTATCTATCTATCTATCTATCTGCTACTCCTACTCTGCACTTTAGGTACTTTGGGGGGTTTAGTACTGCAGTTTATTTATCTATTTATTTATTCAACGGCTGTCTCTGGATGGGCTGGATAACTGTAACTGGCTGGTATGTTAAGTTAACTAACGACTAATTGACTACGGGTACGGGAGTGTTTGTATGTTGTATGTTGACTGGCGGGGGCCGTCCAGCGTCCAGCGTCGTTCGGTAATCGGTAATCGGCAATCGACATCATCGGAATCTTTCTTTCTTTCTTTCTTTCCTTTTTTATGGTATTATGTATATGATATGTATGATATGGTATGGTATGGTACGATGGTATGTATGATGGCCGTGATGGGAGCGGGGGCTAGCGTGGAAGGAATGTTTGAGCGATATGATCTGTATATGTCTATGTCCTATGTCTTTGACGATGTTGTTATTTCTCAGGGCTGGGATCTGGGATCGGGTTGATGTAGATCGTCGTCAGTTTTGACGTGCGGGGAAAAAACTATGACGTCGTCACCTTTCTTTTTATTTTTCTTTTTCGTTGTATCGGACTTTGTTTCCAGTGTGGGGTAAGTCGTTCGAGCTTAAGTTCAGTTTTTAAAGTTCAGTTGGTATGTAAAGTTGGTAAGTTGATGAGTTTAACTAACTAGTTAGTTAACTAAAGTTAGTTAGCGAGGATGGATGGATGGGGGCTTAAATTTCTTTTTCTCTTTCTCTTCTTTTCTTTGCTTGTTTCTTTGGGCTTCTTTTTGCCTTCTTTCTTTTCTGATCATTTTTAGCCTTATTTTTTCAGGGTTGCTCATCTGTACCCGTAACTCTAATATATATATATATATATTTTCTTGTTTGGCCTGCTGGGTTTGTACGCAGCACTGCAGGGGGCCGGAGGATAAAAAAAAGGTCAAAGCGATTTCTTCTTCTGGCCTGGCACGCCTCATGGCAGCGTTTTATGCAGTATGTACTCCGTATGCCCTGACAAGCGACAGAGCGACAGTCTGCTATCAACTTTTTCAAGCCTCGTTGGCGCTGGTGCGTAAGTTACCCGAATAACCGCCTGTGGCTTTGCGGGGGAGTCAATCGTCGCCAATCACCGCCAATCACCATCCACCCGCCTTTGCATGGAGCAATAAATATGATATGCTATGATTGATGCCCTTTCCAAAAATTGCATTTTCCCGAGATTTACCTTTCTTTTTGTGATAATGGATGCATGGAGATCGCCATTTATATTTATTTGCAAGGTTCGCTGGATTTGCAAAAAAAAAAAAAAAAAAAAAATCCACTTACCGTAGCGTGTGCAAGGGAATCCTCCCCCACCTCCGCACTGCCCGGATTGACTGACCGCGGTTCAAATTCCCGACTTGCTGGCTCGCTTACCTGTCGTGATCGTCTAGGGTTCACTACGGCAAGTTAGTATAGCTATTTATGTCTAGGGCAGGCAATTGAAGTAGGCTTCGGGGTACGGTTCGAGGCCAGGGATTGGCAAGGCCCCCACCCAAGAACTGTTCAGACTCAGCTCGCCTGTCGTGTCCCCGTGCATTCGATTTGACGCTGTTTGGCTGGAGATGTCGCTGTGCCATGATCAATGGCTGGATGGATCAAGACGGTCATTCCCCTCCACCTGGTCATCAGTAGTAGTGGTGCATTGCCGAAACGGGCCTTGCGCATTTCAATATGACTTACCATGTATGGTATGCTGCAGATGTTGGGAAATGCGTCTATTTGATAGGCCGCCCGCCCTCGGTGGCTGTCGTGCTAAGTCTACCCCTCATTTTTCAGCAGAGGTCTTGCCGAAAATTCAACAGCAGGGTTATTTGTTGTCAGCCAGCTCAAAAAAGAGATAGGCATTTACCCCGCATCAACTGACATCTCAAGTGAAAAAAAGTTCCATCGAGAGAGAGAGCGTGTGTGTGCGTTTGTGGAGGCATCGCATACCAACAAGCCGCGCCCATCCAGTGTAGGTATTTTAGTTTTCATATACAACTTATAAATATATGTATATATATATATATATAAAGAGCTCCTGAGCCCATCAGATCGAGCCCGTCTCAACGTCTCATCCGAAGACTTATTTCATTCTTCCTACGACAGCGTACGCTCCAAATGATCTCATCAAGCTGGGGCAAGTTATCGTAAACCCCAGAATCCCATACCAGCGTCTCGCTGAACCGCTCCCGCTTGAGGGAAAGCTTATTCCTCGAAAAGCAGCGGTTGCGGAGTGGAGCGTCTCCAGGGTCAACAGCAACGCCGCCAACGCAGGCGTTTTCGCGCATATGCTCGGGCTCCTGACCGCGAAAGCATCGGCTAAACACTCTCAGAAAGAAACGAGCAAATGGGAAGGCACACTCTTGGAAACGAGCTTCATCGAGCTAGATGAAAATCCAGAATACGTGCAGCAAACCGCCACGCAGGTTCCGGCGGTGTCGAAGTGGCTAAGGGAGGACCGGCTGTTTGGGGGAACGGTGTATATGATTACGGGGATAAAAACGGCTATCAAGCCGGGCAAAGCCACTTACGCTGCTGTAACTGAAAGGGACATCGCGGCAAAGCTCGAGGCCACGCTGGCCCTCGATCCCGGGACAGGAGGGGTTCGACGGCGAAAATCGGGGCCGAAGCGGGGTATAATACCGCTGGAGATATCGATTTACAGGGCACGCCGCAAGATAGTTTCGTGTTCGCGTATCAATTGCGCAAACTCCACATTAGGTGGTATCCTAAGCTTTATTCTTTAGAAGAGCACCTCGGAGGTGCAGACTTGCATAGCGCCGGGGATTCGAATATTCTGCGTGAGAGGCTCCGCAGCCAAGCCGAGAAAGCTGCTGATTACGAAATCGGTGATGTGAAATATGAGGCAGACGACTTTGGCGCCCTATTACCGAAAAAGGATGTTAAAGTCAACGGTGTTGATGATTGCGATGGAGAGCAGTGCTTGATGATCCAGGCAAATATGTTGACGCTAGAGAGAGAGAGAGGGATGCATTTGAAAGGCTGTTTTGTCAAGGAATTTCCGTTTCCGCACCAGAGCACTACACTTGAGATTTGCGGATAACTTTTGTTAGCTTATTTGCGAAGAAGGATATCCGATCAAAACTGCCGTGTTTCTTGTTGACTGCAAACATTTCTGGATTGTAGTGTCCGATCTCAGGGATCAAATAATTGTATTTATGCTCGTCAGGGACACAACTTATCGATTCTAATATTTCACGTACGGCACTGATCGTTTTGAGGCCAGCGCTATGCTCGCCCAAATCTATTAGCGATCTGTTCTTGTCGTAGAATTCATATATAATTGCCACCAGTGCGGCGACAATTGGGGTTGACACCGACGTTCCAGACAAGACTGTCCAGGGTTCATGTTCCGTTGCCCTAGCAGAGAGAGCAGGTGGCTGTATACCGATAGGCCATATGGACTCGACATCGCAGCCTAATATACCAAAGGAGTACCGAGGTTCAGTTACTGGAGGACATATGCGAGTCTTGTAGCCATATTGGTCCGTTGCGAAAATTTTGAAAACACGGTCTTCTCGAGCTGGATATTGCAATCTCTGATTGTTGCCTGAGCTTCCAACCGCGGCAAGTAAGATTATCTCCTTGCTCAGGGCAAGTTTAATGGCCTCGCGCAAATTCCTGGTCACTTTATCGAGACCGAACGACATTGATATTATGTCAGTGTCCGACTGCACAGCATATTTGATAGCCTACGCACCATCATTTAGTTATCAATGAGCAGAACAAAAATTCTCAACAACTGGGCACGCTCACTTGCTCCATTTTGGCATCCACTGATGGATCATTCGCTATTGAGTCTTTGGTGCGTCCAATCCGAACAACAAAAAGCTCCGCGTTAGGCGCGAGTTGGAGTAAAATACCGGCAATGAAGGTCCCATGCCCATCTTCATCAATTGCCACGGGCGAGGCCGCCCCTGAATAGTCACGGAACTCCACATTCGCCGGCTCATTGCGTTCTGGTGCGTAACCGTGCGATATATAGGGATGATTAATATCTACACCCGTGTCGATGATCGCTATTCGAACTGGCTGTAAATCCCGATTTGTTGCCGAGTAAGGCAAAATATCCTCTCGAAAACGTATTAGAGATTCCATCTTTTGTGCGCTTGCTCTATGGACGTAATTTCATTAGCGGAGGTTTTGGAACGACACAAAAAATGTAATAAATAAATGCCCTCGTCTTACGCTATAGTTTCCGGAAGCGTGGAAACTGCATCATCAAAATGAATCTGAGATGGAAGTGCCTTAAATCGCTCTGCCATATTCGCTGAAGGTAGAAATGTTAGTAAGGAGAATGAGGTATGGAAATAATAAGGAACGTTATGCACGGACGCGTTGCGGTTGAATTACAAGATGATGGATTTGAATTAAGTTCTGTACCCAAGTCAAGCAGCGGTTTCCTCTTTTTAGGTGGTAACACTTCCTCGGGGGGCACTGCAATTGCGCCCTTTTCGACAGTAGGGTAGGTCAATGGAACGGCGGTAGTGGTATTCTTGTCTTGCGCTCTCGACTTGTCTGTCTTGTTGTAGACAGTAGGGTTCGGAAGAACAGGATCGGACCGACGTCGTTTCCTAATCCTCGCTCGCGATGTATCCGAGGCACGCTCGAGGTTACTGACAACCAGGCTGTAGATATTCTCCCGTATTGCAATGGTCACCTCTCTTTCCGGCATGTTTCTTTTCAATGCATCAGCGATGTGTCTATGAACCCTTAAACAACCTTCCACTGCGCGGAAATAATAATCATCTGGCTGAAGACTGTGGCGTGAATTATCAACCTGTTGAAGGCTTGTGAATTTTTCAAGGATCTGCCACAGTTCGAACATGGGTTTGGTATTCTCTTTTCTGTCACATGGGCTAGTTTCGATGTGCAGGTCCGCTGCGGTATAGATTTCGAGGAGAATCTTTGCGAAGGATACGAAAACTGGGTGCCCCACGGCGAAGGTCAGTAGCTCTGGTGACGCCGGAAGCGCTGAGGAAAAGGATAGATAAAGCAACTCTCCATCATTGCGGGATCCTGTAGATTCCATAATAAGAATATTTTTAGAGTCCCACTGCGTATCGTAGAAATCGAGAAGGTAGTAACCCAGTTGAAGAGCCCAAAGTTGCTTATGCCTGTATAGCGCACGCTTGTCTTCTGGTGCCATACGAATCATCTGCTCGAGCGATACTGCAGATGATGGATCGGCACTGATTTCTGAGAGAGTACTATGCCAAGTTCCGAATAACTCGTCTCTGTTTATAACTAAACGCAATCGCTTGCCGTGATTTGAATGATCTTGTAGCTGGTTGCAGATATTTTCGGTACAATTGAACAAGCCTCCGCCTCTACAAGCTGAGTTAGGTACTGCTGCTTATTTTGGAATAGCCGTGAGACGTACTCGTGTGGATCATACAGCGCTTCTTGCCAGTTGTCTGAATTTGAGCAGAGAGACAACCACATATGAATTCGCTGGCGCGATGTGACCGTGTTGAGGTTGTTTGGTAGCCCCAATCTGACTTCGTGATTTCCACATTGGAAACTCTGGAAAAGGGTCTTCAGAACAGTCACAACTCGATCTCGTGTTGTAGTATCCTTGTATATATAGAAATCCGCGTCTGGAGAGGCGCCCGTTAAATTTGTTGCAGCGGTCTTCAGCGCGCAGACCACAGCATCATTCGCCACTGTCAGTGAATCTAACTCTGTGTATAGTTCCTGGGGATCTTGGGGAGACCTGAATAGTGTTATATGTGGCCCACAAGCCATGTTGAAGGTTCTTGAGCGTGTCGGATGCTCCAAGAATGTCTTTAACGCTGACAAGTTGGGGTATGCACACAATGAGTCGTCCACCGCGTAACTCCGAATCGAAGGCTGCACCAGTCTGTCCAGTCGCTCACACAGTCCAACAAAACCTTTTTTAACATGGGGAAAATCAGACAACTTGAACGTAAGACGGCTATCCCTAGACTCCAAGGCTCGAAGAAGCTCTTGCTCAAAGTACCAGTGGGTGGTGCCATGCTGAGATGACTGCTGATATGGGCTTTGTCTGCCGCCCAGCAGATCACTCAGGGCCTGTAATAGGCGAAATTCATCACACTTCTCAAGTTGAGCCATCGGCAGACTTTGCGATATTTGGTAGTTCTGTCTCCTCCTCCTCCTCCTCCTCCTCCTCCTCCTCCCTCTCTGCTTGCTTCCGGGTGGGTTTTATTTTATTTTTTTTAGGTAGACGGTAGTGGGATCAGCCGCCCGCCTTTGCGTGGATCAGATTGCGGCTCGGCCCGACCCCGCTTCACGTGATATGTGGTAGTTCCTGTTGGAGGTTTGGATTCGATTGGTTCGTCGCCTCGTCGCCTCTATATGCCATCATAGAACTGGTGGTGATTGAGCTCTTTTGCCCCAGTGCCAGTGGCCTAACAGTTACCGCCCAGTCCGTATCCGTGCTCCGATGGACTAAAGGTGTGCACCTGGTTGTATGCGGAAACTTCGACCGGAAACAATTCCAACCTTCATAGATGCCACTCATCGATGGGGTTTTGACATCAAAATCAAACTTGGAAGGCAATCTCTAAAAACTGCACCCCTAGGTTAACCTCAGATCCTTTTTGGGGGTTTGTTAAACAGCCATTGAAGTAGTACTCGTACAAGTAGTATTCCGAACTGAGGTGGCTGTGGAGTATAAAAGTTCTTGGAGCACACCAGTAATTTATATGATAAATCTGTGACGGACCAGGCGGTCATCACTCAACAGCATTCATGATTAGCTTGGAAGTTTGATCTCCGAGGTTTGGATGTATGTATTACTCCGTATGGAGGGTGGAATTATTTGACTATATGCTGGTGACCTACTCCGTAGTTAATGCAGAGTGGATGTGTAATTTTTAGCTGCGACGTCATGGTAATTTTTCCTGCGTTGGCTGTAAGATAAAAACAGGGGCTTCCCACACGGCCTAGCTCGTTCTGCGGACTGCGGGAGTAGGCGCGTCGCCCAGCAACTCTCCGGGGCTTCCCAGGCAAACATTGTTGTTGAACCAACATTTATTTAACTGACGACCACTTACCCACTGTCTGTCAGTTCGTCAGTCACCAACATCAACCTCATCAACCTTTTTCGCACAGAGTCACAGGATCTCGCTCGCCAGCCCGACTGTCGTATATCTCTACTCGATCCAACCCCCTTCATCCCACCCCAAGACCCCATCCCGTCACTAATGTCTGGCTTTGAACATGGCCATATATGACCTAGCGTCGAAGTGCGGCGACCTCTTTGATGAACTGGTTGCCCATGAAAATGACCCTTATGGTCGCTGCCGTGAAAACCAGATACGGTTTGAAAACTGGGCTTTCCACCATGATATTTTTGAACCCAAAGACTTGAGTCTCGATGAGAAGCTCCGACATAATGCCGCATCCTTCCAAAAGTTTGTTGAGGCCCACCTGATGTTCCTGTCAGACTGTATAGCAAGATGTTAATTCTGAGGACCTATTCGAGGAGGAATATATCGCTGACAGGCCGTAGTGCTGAATCGTATCCACGGGACCAGCGATGGCGGTACTCATCCACAGATTAAAGTGAATGAACAAGAACAGAAATCTCTGAGCGACCTCATCTCCGAGGAAGCCGAGGAATTTAAATGCGTAGTTAAGGGCGTTGATGACCTTTATAGACTAAGCTTCTTGATGATATCAAGGTTAGCTCAGTGCAAGATCATCGATATGTTGGGATTTGCTCACCATCCTGATCTCCTGACATTCCAACATTTATGCTGGCAGTCGGTCGCGATACTATATCCATATATTCACCGAGAACTAAGGGATCGCCTCGGCGCGTCAATGACTCGAAGGTATGCTGCAAAGTTCCACCAGAAATTTGTCCAATCCACGGTACAGAGACTCCAAACACATCCCAGCACGATGACAGCTGGAAATGGAGAACCAGAAGAATCTAATGAGGATCGAGTGCCCAACAAAACTGAGAAGGCAAGAGGTATTCAACACCGGACCACCATTTCTTCCCGATCGGACTTCACCACAGGTGGCTCCGAACAAGGGCAGGGGATATTGAATGATTCACTGAAGTTGGGCTCAAAACTTCAGCAAACCTGGTCAGACCAATTCCATCAAGAGAACTACCCCGACCCTCCGAAAAGGAATGCAGATACCATCTCCTGTGAGTGGTGTTCTGCGGACCTTCCAGAAGAGACTCTGAAACCAGGATATTGGAGGTGCGTTTACATTTTATTGGAGCCCGCATACATTGATTGGTCTTGTTTAGCTGATTCTGTGTAGACAACATGTCAATGCCGACCTTATGCCATATCCGTGCATAGCAGAAGAATGCACTGAGTCTCATGCTCAGTTCGCTGAATTTGTTGATTGGTTTAATCACATGCAAGGACATGACGAAAATTGGCACAAAAATATTTACCGAACGCTGTCCTGGATGTGTACGGACTGCTCACGCGACGGAGGAAAATTCATCAGTTCAACACACCTTCTCATTCATATGCTCAAGTACCATACCGATGTCTATCCTGTTAAAATACTTGAAATAATTTCTCGCCACACCTCTTCTAATATGCCAAGAGAACAAGATGAATGTTATATGTGGTTACAAACTTGAGCAAACGGCCCCACCTAGACATCTATATTCTGGAAAGCGTCGGAAAAGGTCCCCTCGAGAGATGAAAAACAAATCGGCTCGAACCAATTTAGCAATGAGTAATCCCAAACCTCATAGCTTAAGCGATGAAAGGTCTGAAGATGATGATGACATCTCGCTAGGTTCTAACTCTTCTGAGATTATGGCACTACATATCTCGGGGCATCTGCAGATGTTAATGTTACTGACTGTCCGCCTAGCATTAATACAGAATAATCAAGAGACCTCAATCCAAGGTACCAATAGCGGTAGCATCAATGCCGATATTGACGATAATTCTTCCTGTGGGCTCTCGACAATTGATTCACTAGAAGCGACTGAGGAAGAACTATCAGAAAGTGCATCTATTAGCGGCAGCGAGTTTGACCCAGTTTTGGAGACCCCAGTTCCAGATAACGACCCACTCAATGATTGGAGCCATATCCCCCGTCGTGATGTGGCCCCTGAGGAGGACGAGTTCCTCCAGCAGGTGATCAAATCGGGCGCGTATCAGTCACACCTGAATGTAAGCTTTTATTCCACATAGTTGAGGCATAATTTGCTCCAAGGTTGGATCTGAAGAGAATTTTCAGTTGCCAAAACCATCACGCCGTGATGGCTTGTGACTGAGCGCTAGTTAAAATACTAGAACCATTGATTGCTAATTTTATCAAGGTTGAGCAACAAGAACCTGCTCCGGTCCATCGACGTCCGCATTTCACTCGGTCCAAACAACAAGCAAATGAACGTCGGTTCATTTGTGTCTTTGCCCCTTACGGCTGCACGAGTGCATTCTCCACGAGGGCAGAATGGAAACGCCACGTTTCCGTTGAGCATCTACGATTTGGCTTTTATCGATGTGATGCTAAAGCTTGCAAAATCCCTAAGGCTTCTTCATCAAACGGCCAATCCTCACACTCTGGTACATGTTCCTTAAATGAGTTTAAATACAAGGATGGCCTTGTAAAGCACCTACGTGACATTCACTCACCATGGGCTTTGTCGGGGTCTCGTAGACCTAGCAAGAGGGATCGGGAGCTTTTTAATGATTCCATTGAAACGATAGCTAGACGGTGTTGGGTTCTGGAATTTTCAGCACCAGAGTACAGTGTGTGCAACTTTTGCAGCCACGAATTTTATGGTCAACATTATTGGGACGAACGCATGGACCATGTTGGAGACCACCTTGAGAGGGGAGACCCGGAACAAGCTGAAGATTCCGGCTTGCGGAAATGGGCGGTCAGAGAACGCCTTATTAGGAAAGTAGGCAGGCACAGATGGTTGCTCGTCTCACTGAATCACACATAAAGATGAACCCATGGCGGTGAAGGGGTTTTCCTTCCTTAACATTTTTACATATTTAATTTTATTTGGGAGGGTTTTATCGTAAGATTCTGACCCCACATATGGTATCGGAATTTCTCACAATACTTTTTTTTTCTTTCTTTTTCTTGCCGATTCCACAGCGAAGGTATCAATGCAAAATTTACACTATCAAGCTAGTTCATTCAACGTTTGACCGCTAGTATATAATACCTCCTTCCAACCCCTCCCAAGCTTCAAATTCATCAATACCCTTTCAACAGCTGCAGCGTCAAACATTGGCGTCTATTCCATACAGGGATTTTACGTTGACAACTAGAAACTTGAAATCCTCAACGATGAAAGGCCTGGTACGCGTGGCGTCCAAGCCTTTATGATTGCTAGAATTATCAACTCCACCTGAACTGGGTTCCCAACAGTGCACGCAACAAGACAAAAACACTTGAAACATTAGGACTTGAAGCAAAGGCACAAGTTCGCCCCTCAAACCATAAATAACAATGATGGTTGAAACCAGCTGCTAAACGTAACTCTGGGAACTTTTTGCCTTGGAAGAAGAATAAGAATGTAGCTCAATGCTTGTTTCTTTAAAATGACTGTTTGATGACTTTCAGTTCAGAACTGTATTAAGGCTGTAGAGTGTCAGCTGTACAGATTTATAGTTACAGCTCTATATATGCATTAATTTAGACAATGGAAAAAAAAAAAAAAAAAAAAAAAAAAATCTGCTGTTCAGATTCTATGTATAATTTTATTTAACTCATCAAGAGTGTTAAGTTGACTTCAAAAGTCCACTTTATAGAGCGCAATAGTGTAATTAATTGAAAAAGTGACTGGTTTGAAAAACTATTTAAGTTAAATCTATATTTATTGTAACCTACGGAGTACTCCGTACTCCGTATACACTATGTAATTAGATGAGGCGGGAGCGAAGTCTCGAAAAATCATACGGGCCCAGAAGTCGCTTCATTTTGTGACTGAAATGATTGGATATCAAATATCAACAATGTGTTCAAAAATGCAGGTTGAATCTTTGATGATTTTATTGGTTTAGAGAAAGGTTTCGAATTGAGATCTCGATTGATCAAAATGCTGGAATTTTTTTTTTTTTTTTTTTTTTTTTTTTTTTTTTCGGCAGTGGAGACTTGAGTTTAACCACTAGTTAGTCCACAATTGGCTCAGGCAGCCTCGATTCTTTGCCTCTGAATTACATATCTGTCTACGGAGTACGGAGTACATGCCTGCGTGATACCCGATCAGTTGCCAATGGAATATAGAAGCTAGTTAGATAGCTATCAATATCCAATCAATCTCTATGAGAATAAACATCACCATCTAGCTGCTCAACCTAGCTATCAATTCTAGCTTACTAGCTGACTACCTGCCTATCTATCTTCTGACCTGCTGGAATGAACGATTTCCACTGATGATATCTATCGACGATATCTAGCAATGATATATACCGATGATATCTATTGATGATATCTGCAATGATACCTGCAATGATATCTAGCGATGGAACTTTGCGCTTTCGCTCCGTCCCGCACAGCTGCATGTTTCATGGAGCTCCTGCTATATAAAGTATTGTGCCTGAGCTGTCTAACCCGTTGAAGAAATTAATGATGTCTTTCATCCCCTGGGATTTAAGAGGTTTGTTTGCTCCCCCCCCCCCAGAAGAAGAGTGATAGAGGCAGGCTGCTCCGTTTCTTAAAAATAAAGTGATTAGAAAACTGTGAGAGATGATGATAATATAAAGAGTGAATAATTAATTAACTAAAGATAGTAGAAGATGATAAATAATAGGAATGTTAGCAAGGAGTACAATAAAAAGTAGATAGTAGTTGTTAATCACTAAGAGTAGAAAGAGAAGAGAAAAGAAGATGCAAGTACATGTGAGAATACATATATATATATATCGAAAAGTAGTCTCGAATGAGGTCGATAAGCCGAGCCATGAGGCGCTCTTTCACCGCACTCCACAGAAGACCCCTTCCAGTACCCACTCCCCAGCGTCTACCACAAATCGAACCTGTTGACGAGGAGATTTGTCCCGGCTACAATTCAAAGAAATTCTATCCAGCAAAACCTGAGATGGTGCTCGATGATCACTATCAAATCCTTGTAACGGTTGGATGGGGGGTCTCATCTACCACATGGTTTGCTCGTGACATGCAAGGGTATTACTTTCCAGATATCTAAACAGCTTTGTGTTGCCAATAGCCGTCGTAGATACCGATGGGAACCTGAGTGTGTAGTGGCACTGAAGATTACCAATACTGACTCCCAGACGGGTGCGAGAGAGCGCGATATTGAGGACCCTATTGCTAAAGCAGACCCTTCTCACCGCGGCCGTGCTCTTTTTCGAACATATCTGAATTCATTCGAAATTTGCAGCCCAGAAGGGGAACGACGCCTATGTTTCGCCTATGAGCCAATGAAGAGAACCTTTATGGATTTTCCAGAGACGTTTTAAGGACAGAATTATCCCTCTTCCCCTTATCAAAACCTACGTCCGCGTTCTCTTGATAGGCCTGGATTATCTCCATACATCATGCAGCATTGTCCATACTGGTAAGTGCATCCACTGCCTAACCCATTCTAAATGGACATGAAGCTCATGGAGATACCTTATAGATCTAAAAATTGACAATATAATGGTCACTTTTGAAGATCCAGTTGTGCTAAATGAGTTTATGGATTCTCAACTCAATAGCGCGATGCAGTATAAGACTGATCTCTCCGGTCGTCCAGTTTATCGCTGCTGCAATGATTTCGGACCTCTTAGAAAAGTGCGAAATATACCAAAGATTGTTGATTTTGGGCTATCTACAAAGGAAGAGAGCTGTTCCAACACATCCACAATACGCAGGGTCATTGTGCCGCCAAATCTCACCTTGCTGAAATGATTGGCTTTCTTGGTCCTCCTCCTCGGGAGCTAGTTGAAAAGGCCCGATCAATGTCAGGTCAACAATGGCCTGAACCCATAAAAGGGGAGGAGGATGAAATATGCGCAAGCGCAATGGAATATTTTTGGAGGCACATTTTTTGATAGTGATGGTATGAAGGCATATATCGCACTGAGCGTAATCAACATTACTGATAAAGCCAAACCAGGGAATTTCCCGCATGACGAGTTAATCCCGGAAAGAAAGCTCGCCGATACACTTCCTTCTTTAGACGAAAGAGAAAGAGAATGGGTTCCTTTCCTTTGTAGGAACGATGCTTGCTTGGCTCCCGGAGGATAGAAAGACAGCACGCGAATTGGCGGATCACCCATTTCTTCAAGTAAAATAGGTTTAGGTGCATAGTATTTTGAATCTCTAATATTGTTGAGTGCTGATCTTATCCTCTCTTCCTTACGTAAACTAACGTCGGGGGAACATTCCCAATAGATAGGCGAACCAATAATACAACAGGTTCACAGCAGATGTTAGACACTAAGCAGGATATTCGAACGACATTTAAAGATGTGATTCGTCAGTGTATTATCCATGATCTCCCTTTCTGTCCCGCGCGCCGTGCAAGGTCATGGAAGTAATGAAAACTTCCTGTTCCCACAACGCAATCGCCTTAAGAACTCAGGTTATCATTGAACCAACTCTCAACCTGCTCCAATGGACTGTAGTTCTTCCATGAACTCAACAGCTGTCAAATCTTCAGAGGCATTCATCATCTTTGTCGCCAGTCTGAGCTTTGCACTTCGCTTCGCTTCCCATTGAGGGTAAATGCACCCAAGGTAGTGAGTGATATTCTCATCAACAATAGCATACATAGATGGCAAGGAGTGCGATCAAAACAAACCAGTTAAGCCATAACTGAGAAAGCCAAGGGAGAATGAAAAGCTTACGCAGGCTGGTGGTGGCTTGATGCGATGAGCTTGAACCTGGGTTATGTGTCTGTATCGCGCTATGGCTGCATGGCTGGCAGAATCGAAGGATCTACTTCCCAAGTGCAAGCTATTCATGCATACATACATACATACATACATACCTCTCGAGCGAAATTGCCGGCATTGATGGAGGTTAGCCCGATGAATAAATATATGCTTTCATATTAAAATACGTATTCTTATCACCGACGGCTAGGTCGTGGCGTCGACGGGGTATTCTCCTGCAGTTTACACAGGACACATACCCTTGAGGAAAACAGGGCCTAACCGCTGGAGTGGTCTGGAGCTGGCTGGTGGCACTTACTTGTAGGGATGCTTGGAAGATGACCTGAGGAGTGACCTGCAGTGATGGCAACTCCAGATGATGCTTGTGGATGTGTTAGGTGGTGATGAAGGCAAGATACATAGACAGTCAGTCACAAGAAGCGCCCTTGCTTGAGAGCTGATGAGCACATCTGGCACAGGGAATGGCTGTCTGGTGTCGCTCTTCTGCTCTTTTATTTTCGTTTTTCTTAGTTGTATGTCTCTTCTTCTTCTTCATCATAATCATCTTCTTCAGAAACAGTGTTGACTGCTCCTTGATAACTTACTGAGTCTTTCACAAAGAAAATTTGCACAATTGACTGAGCAAGGGGTATTTTTTTTAGTCCAGCAGTGATGTGTCTGCTACATGGGTTTTCTCCTTACTTTGTATATACTGACTGATCTCCCACATAACTTTTGCTAGGTCCGGCTGTATACAAATATCTCATCCCCTCTAGCTGCAAAACGAAGATATTTCAATACACGCGTCCACAACGGATCAGATCACCAAGTGTATTTAGAATATGTATACACCCTAATAATCTCCGTGTATTCTTCACATCATATCTTCATTCAGAATAAACCCAAGCATGCCTTTGGCCTCATAGATTTTCCCTGACGGCCGCACTTCAGCGCGTCCATTTCGCATACGCCCATCGCACACGCTCCAAGATGCGCAATTGCCGCGTAATGCCAACACGCACGTTCAAAAGATCACGGATGTCCTCCTGGAACTCGTGATATGTAGCCCCCGGGAGAAGATTCTGAGCCCTTTGGCAGAGGATATCGGTCTCGCAGAGCAGAAGGCCGTGGTCCTTGCAGGAGAGAATGCCGTCGTGGGTTGTGGTGGAGGCCGTCAGGACGCGATGGACGGCGCTGGTGATGAGCGGATACGGTGAGTTCTCATGTATCTCTATACGTTATGGGTATAAGACGGGTTACGTATGCAGTCGGTGGAACTTACCTGAGTGCGCGGACCATATCTTCTTGCTTCTTCCCTCGCCGGAGGCCGGCCCTGTTTCCGAATGTTCCGGTGACCCATCGGAATACAGCGTAGGAAACGAGAATTCCCGGGGTGAGACCGACAAATCTAGGGCCGTATTTAAGTTAAGGCTAACTAGGGGTAAATGAAGAGGTAAGTGGGGAGGATAGGAAGCAGTACCCAAAAACCAATTCTTGGCTTTTCAACAGCGCGTCGATGCCTCCAATTGCAATTTCAACATCCACTTTGGTTTTCTGAATCTGTATCAGTAGCGCACGAATTAAGTCTCCCCGCACTGTTCCAAAGAAAGGGTTTTTCAAATCCCGCTCGTAGGCTTTTAGGACCGGAGTAAGATCTCCCTCTTTGACTTCAGACCGGAGCACATCGATCTCGGCCTGCGTCCACGACTTATGGCCTGAGACGTCCGTGGCAAAGTCAACAACCATCCTCTCGAGACTAGCTCGGTCTGCTTGCAGGCTGTGCTTGCTCATTATGGCAACCTCGCTCGTCTCGTCGTGCCGTATCGTCCCGATGAGTCTCCGTAAGGGATCGATGACCCAATTCGCCCAGAAATCAACCATTGTGGAACCAAGCTCGGAGATCCAGGTCCATATCTCTACACGTCTATTAGTTAATGTATTTAGTATGGTTCCGAGAGAGAAGAACAGGATTGAGACAGGAATCCAGTAACGGATGATTCTAGAAGGGTAGCCGTATTTATTGATCATAGCCGCAGTAGAGGCCCGTTGGCCGGGCAAGGATTCCTCCAAAACCTGGATGAGTTGCTGGAAAATGTGCGACGGATGCTCTACAGCATGAACTAGGTGTTCAACATCCACAAACACGGTATTTTCAAACACGGCAATCTTGCCGGCACCCCCACCAACTTTCTCCAGGACGACACGGAGGAGAACGACAGTCCGTCGAACCACATCCTTCCAATCTCCAAGCTTCTCGACATTTCCATTATCGCCATATCCAGAGTCTTCGTCTTCCATCTCGAAAACAAGTCCTTCCTCCACAAGCAATCCAATCGCACAGGCATTGACCTCCCGAACCTTCCTCAAATGCTTCCGCTTCGATCGTACCTGAGACCGACACAACGCAAACGGCGACAAAATCCTCATCATCTTCGACTGCACCAGCGACCGCTCCTTGATACTCTGGTGGACAATGCTGTAGAAATTCCTCCAGCGACCGGACAGCGACAGGGATGAAGCGCCCATGCCCATAACCCGCGCCTCCATTCGCCGCCGCCGGAACGTGTGGAAGATGCCCCGCGCCTGTTGCCAGAGCCTGACGGGCAGCATCTGCATGGTATAGAGGCCGGTGTAGATATGGGAGCTCAGGACTTCATCCCAGTACCAGATGCTGTCATTTAGCGGTATGCTCTCCTCCAGCAACGCCCGCATCACCAACCCCAGCCCCTGGACAGAGGCCTTTGCCGCAATGATCCATTGGAGGTCTGAGATGTAGCCATCTTCTAACGCTGCAGAAGTGGGTTGGACAGAGGGGGCCACTGATCGATGGAGAAGCTGCAGGAGATGGGAAGGGTGCAGGAGTGGGCGTGACGGAGAGCCTACGGAGAGCGCTCTTGCGATTGCGGTTAAGGTAGCGATGGTCTGCTGGGTTGCAGCGGATGCTTCTTCCTCGTGTACGTCTGCTGGCTGTTGGGTGATGGCGGCAACCGCAGCAGACTTTTGGGCGGATTCCGAGAGGTGAAATTGGATCCTGTCGATCTGCGTATCTAGCCGTCGAACTTGTCTGAGATTCGGATCAGCGTTTTTTTAAGAGTAATCAACACGACGACAGAGGGGAGAGCATACTCGGATATTATCGACATGTCTGTTGATGTGGCTGGCCATCCAATGCGGGGCTCATCTGGCTAGAGGACATGGCAACATCGAGATATCATTCTAAGTAATTAGGAAGTAGTTAACTTGACCATATTGGTAGTAGATGGATGTAAAGCAAAACCTTGGAAGCAACATCCATGGATGCGCTAACGTCGTCAGGTGAGAGAGCAGGTGCAAACAAGACAAACAAGCTAAATTCGGCATGAAGCTTGCACCTGGCCGGCAACAGGAAGTCCGAAAGAACAACAATCCAGAATATTTCAATCCATCTCGAGGAATACAACCGCAGTTCTGTTAACAAATGGCATCAAAAAGGCCTGGTTTTAGATTTGAAACTGGCTCCTGTGTCTGAATCCTGCTCCCACAATCCCGCGCCCGTTCTCCGCACCCGCAACGGCCATCGCTCCATCCGTTTCCGGAGCACGCCAGCCCACACTCGTCGCCTTGTCGCCTGTCGCATACAAGGTAAGGTGATGGATGCTTCCTGGCTTCCTGACTTCCAGGGTTCGGATGCCGCGATACAGCAATCATACGGTGTCCTGACTAAGCGATGCGGCGGCATGCGCTAGATTATTTCGGGTTAGTTGGGGGTTGCCCCCTGACCCGCCAAATACCGCCGTTACGTATTGCCGGGTCAGAACCCTTCCAGCTCCGCGTTCTGATTGGCCATCTGAGGTAATTTTTGTCACCCGTACCGCCACCACACAGCCAAGCCCTAGGATTCCGTCTTCGTTGTCTGTTTGTTCTTCCTTGAAATTTAATTCTCTATCTGTCGCTCCTTTCCTGTCTGCACCCGACACAACAACCGTTCGCTACCCCAGCCAGCACTCTCCTGCTGGATATAACTGTCACAAGAGATCCACCCTCTTTCCTCGGGGATGTCTATCTAACAACAGAGCACTGATTCTGGCCACGACTTCACAATGTGAGTGTCTTCAATCCGCCGTGTGATCATTTGCGTGACTTCTCCCATTACCCCTGTCTCGAGAATGCTAAACTCCTCCTCCCGTTCATTTCAGGAATTCCACCCTCCTTTCTCCGCCCCAGGAGACCTACTGGGGCCAATTCGAGGAAATCTCAAAGTACAATGTCCACCTTAACTTCGCTGAGCGTCTGTGGGCAGCCTGGTATGCCTACATGCAGAACGATGTCCTTGCCACCGGCATCATGTCCTTCGCTATGCATGAGTTTGTCTATTTTGGCCGCGCCCTCCCCTTTGTCATCATGGACCAAATACCTTATTTCCACAAATATAAGATCCAAGGCGTACGTTTAACGAGCCCGCAGACGTGTTTTTTTCCTATATATTCTTCCTCTGTGACCCTGATGTTGACATTTGTCCCACCACCAGAATAAAATCCCTAGCCTGAAGGAGCAATGGGAATGCGCCAAATTCGTTCTCCTCAGTCACTTGACCGTGGAACTTCCACAAATCTGGTATGTCCCTCCAGTACTAAGCTAAAATTAGAGAAAGAAGCGAATTTTATATTTGTTGCTTACTCGCTCGTCAGGCTTTTCCACCCCATGGCTCAATACTTCGGCCTTGATACCGGCGTTCCCTTCCCCTCCCCGTGGACTATGACTTATCAAATTGCAATCTTCTTCGTCCTCGAAGATACCTGGCACTACTGGTTCCACCGTGCCCTGCACTGGGGTCCGCTCTACCGCGGCATCCACAAGATCCACCACCAATACTCTGCCCCCTTCGGCCTTGCCGCCGAATACGCCTCGCCCATCGAAGTACTGATCCTCGGCGTCGGCACCGTCAGCTCGCCCATCCTCTGGTGCGCCATCACTGGCGAGCTTCACATCCTCACCATGTACATCTGGATCACCCTGCGGCTGTTCCAGGCTATCGACGCGCACAGTGGCTACGAGTTCCCCTGGAGTCTGCATCATTTCCTGCCCATCTGGGCCGGCGCGGACCACCATGACGTACACCATGAGAAGTTCATCGGCAACTTTTCGAGCAGCTTCCGATGGTGGGATTACTTCCTTGATACCGAGTATACGCCTGATGCTGTGAAGAGGTGGAGAGAGAAAAAGCTTGCACAGACATCTAAGAAGGCGCAATGAGTTCCAATTTGTTTTATGGTTTCACGTCCGGCCTGCTTTCGGGTCTCCGTGCGCAGAGATTTCCAGCTTGACAGCGCGCCTTGTATTGCTCTGTCGATGCTAGGTACATTTCCGCGATTTCCTCCGGTCTCTATCTTTTCTCACATCGTGTATTGTATTTCCGCTCTCAATTTCTTTCTTTCCTTGTTCCTGGTTTAATTTTTCTTCTTTTTCACCTTGTTACATTTGGGTTTACCGCCCAAGCGGGTATTTTGTTCATTTTTTCATTGCACTGGAGTGTTTATGCTGCCCCGAAACCCACGGTTCATACATAACTCGATCCCCATTTTTTGATACCTAATTGCCCTTGTCTTCTTTCTCACATAATTCTTTTTGTAATCGTACTATAACTAATCCTTTGTTCTAAGTTCATTTTTTTCTCTTCGTCCCCCCTCCAACTTTTTCTTTTTCATTTTCATTTTTTCCTGACTTGTTATTATCGTTATTGCATAGATTAGTTGAATGAATGTTTTAAAAGATACACATGCATAGTAAGGGAAGGAAGAGGATGTGACCGATGATTTGATATAATGTTTCTTCTATTCATGCTGGTGGGAAAATATGCCACTAAAGCCAACTCTGGGTCAGCAGTGGTAGTATTTGAAGCTGCTACACATAACTTAACAGAGAACGAACTTCATTTGATTCATTTATATTACTTTGATTCACTAGTAAGCTGCTTCGCATCTTTTTGCTGTAACTTTTTTTACTATTTCCCAACAAGAACGTGGAGGTCTTGGTATCGCCCTATCTGATTTACGTAAGCTGGTTGTTTTTCCAAAAGGAAAAAAAAAAAAAAAAGTTCGTGATTCCCTTGAGAAACCTTGATTAGACTTATCACTGTCAATCTCGATTCTGCTCAACAAGGACTGCTTTAATCTGTTCCCCGCCTATTCTCTCTTCCGCTTCCACAGGAAACCAGACGGCCATGGGTATCCAGAAGCGAACGCGCAAGTTCGCTCAGGTGCGTTGCTTCAGGTGTTTGTTTGGTCTGTTACTAACGGCAGAATGAAAATCAAGTTTGTTAACGGGGTTGAATGAGATAATGTAGATGAAAAGAGCAATTGGTAGCCGCGATAGCCGATTGTATGTTATTTATTTTGTTTTTAATTTTCCATCTTAGCCATTGCTCCTCACCAAGGTTATCTTCGTTCCTGGAGCAAAAGAAAATGTGCCGCTCGCGGATGGAGCTAACTAACTAACTTCTTTATCCCAAACCCCGTAGAAAGCAGAACCAGGCAAAGGCCCCGCAGAAGGGAACGGACGAGAAGAAGAAGAAGAAAGACGACCTCGTCCGCGAAATGTAACACCATCCATCCATCCACTGCCCGAACAGCCCACTAACACAAAAACCCAAATACAGCCCCCAAGTCTCCTCCGCCCTCTTCTTCCAATACAACACGGCCCTCACGCCCCCCTACTCCATCCTCGTCGACACAAACTTCCTCTCGCACACGGTGCAGCACAAGCTCGACGTCATCCCGACGATGATGGACTGCCTGTACGCCAAATGCATCCCCCTCGTGACGGACTGCGTGCTGGCGGAGTTGGAGAAGCTGGGCCCGAAGTACCGCATCGCGCTGCGCATCGCGAAGGATCCGCGCTTCGAGAGGCTGAAGTGTGACCATAAGGGCACGTATGCGGACGATTGTCTGGTTGATCGCGTCATTAAGCACCGGGTTTACATTGTGGCGACGAATGATAGGGATTTGAAGCGGAGGATTCGGTGAGAACTCTCTCTCTCTCTGTGGAGTACTTTTTTACAAAAAATTCCTACTTGGGATGGGCTGTTCTGACGTTTTATCTTGCATCTTTTACTTCTGTGTAGGAAAATCCCTGGTGTGCCGATTATGAGCGTCGCGCGGGCGAAATATGTTATTGAGCGGCTTCCTGACGCTCCTGAGAAATGAGTACCATGCCTCACGACTCTCCTTCTACAAAGTATCCGGGCTGTGGAAAATTGGGCATATCTCAGATGTCTTGGGCGGAGGAATTCAGAATTTCCCTTTCTAACTCCTCTATGAGGTTGGTGCAGGGGCGACTGGCCAGCGATTTGTGTATGTTTTTAAAAAGACAAAGGGGCAAAACCGGCCTCAAATCAGCAGGAGGGCGAACGATGGATGACCTGAGTCCTACGTGGACTGCGAAACCTTTTTTTTTTTTTTTTTTTTTCAGTTTTGCTGATTTCTCCGCCATACAAACATACAAAACATCACGCGATATGGCTGCCCATCCTTGTTATCTCCGGTGAAGAAACAGCCCCTGGTCCGGTTGCGTGGCGTGGCATGTGTTTGCGGATCCTGGCAATGCCGGTGGTGGCGCGGATACCCGGCACTCGTTCGCTAGCTGCCGTCACTTCCGTATCCCCTTGTAGGGGCAGTTGTTTACCCTTTTCTTCTTAGGAACCTGGCCTCTTGGGTCGATATGTTGTTGGAGGTCAGCACGCACCACTTCGTGCCTCAGGTGTAACAACGATACTATGTTCAGGTATGTTCAGGGCCCGTGAGGGATTGTTTATTGCCGGGGTTCCGACCAAAATAGACGGGATATATGCTGGCCGGGTCTGGTATGGCCGGGCCTGGTTTGAGTCTACAGCTCCCAGTTGGGATTGTTGAGTTTTGCCATATGTATGTATGACTAGAGTGAATAGAAAGAAAGTCCAATTCAACGAATGTTTATGGAAGTTGTTCTCTCTGCCTTCTAGAACGGAAACAGGGCTTGAACCAAGCCGAATCACGTGGAGATAAGATAAGAAAACTATTTGTCCTCAAGTTTCTTCACCAACTTTCAATGGCCTATCCCGAACTGCAGCAGTCACCAATTACACCCCCGATATCCGCGAGGCTCCATGATACATTACGCACGGAAATCGTCCGCATGGGGCACCAAGTTGGAGAATCAAAAGCATATCCCCGTTGTCCTCCCGCCCCGCGTCCCCCCTCCCCCCGCCTTTATTCAAAACGCTTAGACAAATAGCTCGTGGAATTGCCTCGCGATTTAAAAGCAAAACAAGCGGCGGCTGCAGGAGGATAGAACGAGATCAAAATAGTAAACTAGTATCTGTCGTGCATTATCTTATCATCCATATCGCTAAACATAGATGACCCCGGTCTCTGTGATATACTCCGACCCCAAATCGTCGCCCCCCGGGTGACACCTACTAACGATTTTGGTGAACTCCATACACCAAATTACCCCAATATTTGATGTGCACCCGTAAAGCCCCGGTCCGAATAACCTGATTAAGATTAAATAGGAATCCGTTTTTCTTC